TCAAATTATTTTTTTAATTAAAACTTATCAACTTATAATATACCTACAACAAACTACATGGATATAAGTAGAATATTATTATAATATAGAATATTTTTCTGACACAAGGAGTAATACTTCAAAGAACAACAGTGCCTTCCAGACCTCCGAATTAATCAGAAATATGAGTAGATAAAAGCTTTGCCAATACTTTTTAATAAGAGATAATAATTATGATAGGTAGTAAAATTATATAGAATGTCGTTATCTTGTGTATTTAAACAAGAGCGTTCGGTTCTAATCAATTTCCACTTTCTACACAATCTTTTATCAAATATTGTGATTTTACTATAAGATAAAGATTATTATCGTTATTTTAAAATTTAAAATTGTGCTGCTATAAAAAATCTAGAACATGCTATACTGTGAAACGTATCAATAGTGTCTCGCATGACACCTGTACAACTATATTTTTAGATTGTAATTCGGATTTATTTTTACAAACTATCTGTTAAACGTATAATTATAATTTTTAACTGTGATTGTTTCAGATGCGAAATTCCACAGTGCGACATCGACAACCCAATTTACGATCCGGACTGGTTAAACCGGTCGATACCTTTCAACGAAAAGACCATAGAGCCATACAAATGCCTCAAGTACCACTACCGGAGTACCAACGGGACGGACGTCTCTGCAAATAACACGTGTAATTTCGATGCATTCGATGTCAATTCGAAAGAGAAGTGCAACAAATGGGTGTTTGGTGAAACGGAAAGAACGATAGTAAACGATGTGAGTGGGTGGCCTCAATTATATAATTTTACGTTACCCCTCTGACAATACCCGTTTTGTGCATACAGTTTGGTATTATGTGCGAGGAAAACAAATGGAAACTCAGCATGGTGGGAACCATCAACAGCATTGGTCAATTTATCGGCATTCCTTTAGCAGGATTTATTTCGGACAAGTGAGTAATATAATTATCTATAAAGTATACCTTATACTTATACCGCATTACCGCGTATGATGCATTGCTATAGCTTATTCGGTGTCGTCGTTTATACAATGTCTGTATAATATAATCATCGCTATAATATAATAGATTTGATATGGATGGTTTGTAGGCCTAATTTTCAAACATAAAATATTCATGTAATTACAATCCTTCAACATTTGAAATTTTTTAATTACATTTCACCCGGAGGATCTATTTATWACTTAACTGTTTTGTATGCGCCTCTACCCCGTCAATCATCAGAAAGTGGTTTACCATAGTTTGGATTTGATTTCATTTGAAATTTCTGTGGACGAGTTTGTTACACTTAGCATGTGTGTATTATTTGCCTGGATCAAGTCCATAGCACTGATCCCATATGGCTTAAATGGATAAATGTATGAATACAACTATTGCTTGACGTATACATCAAACAAATCATAGCAGTCGTAGTTTATTTTTACAAACTCGAACAAATCGAAACCACACACCGAAATAAAACTTTACCTATGAAATAAAACCCATAATCATAGTGGATAAGTTTTCAAATATCCACTTATAAAAACAAAACCCACCGTTATTGTTACATTTTGCATAATAATGAGTACCTATATGTATTCTATACATTTTTTTTTCTATTATTTCTATTAAGTTTTTTCTTTAATATTATGCACCTTTTTTTGTAAACATAAAGGTATGGACGGAAGTTTATCTTAATTATAGGGTCAGTTACGTCAGCCATACTCGGCACGGCCCGGTCCTTCACTACCGATTACTATTCATTTCTCATTTTCGAACTTTTGGATTCCATGGCTTCTAGTGGAGTGTATGGAGCCACATTTGTATTAGGTGAGAAATAAAACCCTTGAAATCACAAAACATGTTATAAAATCAATATACGTATTTATAATAATATCAAAATGTTTATTTCAGGTCTAGAATTAGTCAGTCCGAAATCGCGGGTTACCGTCAGTACTCTGATGGGCTGTTTCTATCCCATGGGCGCGGTTATTATGGGCTTCGCCGCTTATATGATTCTCGATTGGAGGGTAATGCTTAGGGTACTCTACTTGCCCGGATTACTTATATTAGGATACACTTGGTAAGYTTGATAATAATTTACCATTTCCATAGTACATAAACACGATTACACGTTTGAGTTGACATAATAAATGTAAAGTTTTAAACACATTTGTCTGTGTGCCGTTGTGATATAGGTACGTACCAGAGTCCATGCGATGGCTTCAAACGCAAAATCGAATCGAAGAAATGGCCAAAGTTCTGTCAAAAGTTGCCAAATCTAATGGCAAAACACTACCGTCTAGCGTCAAAGAAGCACTGATCGCCAACACCATAGTCAACGCCAACACCACGAAAGAGGTAATGATAAATTAGAAAAAATTTTAAATCGCCGCTCGATGGTTCATAAATTATAATTCCGTTAAAATATTGTAACATGATTAAATAAATAAATCAACATGATATAATAATATGTTTACCGATGTCGTTTCAGGCCGACGAAATCCAATTGTCTTGTAGTAAATTGATGAGTAAAATATTTAGTTCTAAAGAGATTTTCCTGCGGCTGATCAACTGCTCGTTTTGCTGGTTAGTATACGGTATCTAAATATATAATATTAAAATATATTCATCATAGGTAAATTATATGATGTTTTCTACCTTCTCGTTTTAAAATGTGATTAATTAAATATCTTGATAAATTTTTGTGACTTCAGGACAACGATTACGTTAGTTTATTACGGTCTCTCATTAACTTCTGTGGAGCTCTCCGGTAACAAATACTTGAACTTTATGCTTGTTAACATTGTAGAAGTACCAGCGTTTTTGACATCGTGGTATTTCATGGAACACTTTTCCAGACGAAATACTCAAGCGTTTTCATTCCTCTTCAGTGGCATCGGATGTATTATGGTGAACGTAATACCTATGAGTAAGCAAACCCTTGTTTTAGACAGATTTTTTTTCACGTAATTTTATTATTACCTTACGCGTGTTCTCTATAATATAATATGCAAATCATGTGGATATGTGATACATCTGGACTAAGGCATAATCAAGTAAAAATATTACCTTATCAAAATTTGTATAAATTCATATTAATATTATAAACTATAACTAATAGGTAACCCTTATTATACATATAACAAAACATGCAAATATATAAATACATATATTTTGTTTAATTAGAAAATCAACCATATAGGTAACCTATGTTATGTTATAATGGTACCTAAATAACTTGGTTAAGAAAAATTGATTGTAAAGCAAATTTCAAATTATACAACTTTATCTATTTAAAAAACAATTAGGTGCCTACCTAACTAGTTTTTTATAAAAATATAATTGTTGTTTATAACCGCATCTATCATTTTTGAAACCATTAACGAATATACTAATAAATACACTAATTCGTGTAATCGCGTCATGTCTATACGACGTGGCCTTTTTACAATAGAATCCACATATCATTAATTTACAGATTATCTGTGGACGAAACTATTCTTGTTCTTGAGCAGCAAGTACGCCATCACCATGGCATTTAATACTATGTACGTGTTCACCGCAGAGATGTTCCCCACCGAATTACGTATGTCATTATTCGGCATAGCTTCCATGTTTGGTCGAATGGGTTCCATGTTCGCTCCACAGATGACGCTGTTGGTGTGTATTTGACAATTTTTTTTCGATAGATCGATAAGCTCAATGAAAATAGAAACGCATAAATCATGCCCGATTTATTATTATTATATTATGTATAACGTCAAAATTATTTAAATACTGTTTCACAGAGTACCTATTTTGGACAATACGTGCCGATCATGTTGTTCGGAATCATATCATTTATGGCCGGGGCGTTAGCTTTCTTGTTCCCGGAAACAAAAGATCAAAAATTACCCGACACAGTTAAACAAGCTGAATTCGTTGGAGAGGTCTAAAAAGATTCTAAGTGGTTCGTAAATTCAACGGAAGTATAACGCTAGAATACACCGGTTGCAGTCGTGCCTTATGACATTTGTACATATAAGTTTTACTTTTAATGATGATTCCATGTGTCTCATAACGTATGATTTATTTTTATAATTATCTAACGCTAAGCAATAGTATTTTATAAACCCTAACTGAAGGAAACAAGTTTCTATAATCTTTAAGTTCACATCATTCATATATGTACTAACTCCACTAATTGTGTATGAATGTGTACTCTTTACATAATATTGAATTATTTTAAATGTATACATATTACATATAATGTAATGGTAAATAATATCTCAACAAATTCCATTTCATCACCCTTTTTTAGGTGTTCTTTTTTATATTTCTGAAATTACTGTGATATTAAATATGTATTAATTACACGATTTTAAAATTAAAAAAAAAAATTGTATGTTGTATAACTATATAGTATATAATATTATATATTATTTATAGTTAATATATATATATATATATAATATACAAGTGCTAATAGTGTTCCAACACTATAAATAAAATATGAACTGTTAATTTTAGCAATAATGTTGATTAATGATTATTATTATAATATATTTTATTAGGAAATACTTATACGAATGTATATTAGCATAAATAAATTTAAGGAATTAAAGACATTATATATTATATTATTATTTTAGTTGAAATTCTATAATATAATATTTTTATTTTAAAAAAATCATTATTTACAAGTTTAATGTATCGACCATTTTTGTTATAAAAATTAATAAAACACTTAAATTACCAAATTTTTGTTCTTATGTTATTATAGAAATAAACATATAGTTTTAATCAATCAAATAATAAATATTGTGTAAAAAATACAGGGTAATTCACCTAGCATGCTTACCTCCCCATACCATTTTACCTTTATTCGAATTCGAATTTTTATATTTTTTAATCGCGTTATACATATACATTATTATGCTTACTTTAATATACGAATATACCTATCAATATCATTTCCATCAATTACTGTTCTTGGAATTAAATGCTCGACTACAACCATTATAATTTTTCATCTAACCTAACCTATCTCCTCCAGCGATATAAAATACACTTCAGTTTGTCCGAAAACCATTTTTCTCTAAACAAATTATAATATAGTACTTAGATAAATAAAACATTAACATAGATACCTTTATGAAACATGTAAAAAAATATTTATAAAAAAATAAACTTATGAAAATGTGTTTAAAGAATGGTAGCTGCAGCGAGACGCCGTGCGCYGCCGGCGCCAAGCTAACGCCTCGCAGTCATTTCACCGTCATTATTACTAATTGCAAACAAATTGTTACCGCCTATCATAATATTGTAGATATTGTTGATATATTGTTGACTACCACCATCATCGTTGCCAACCATTATTCAAGGTGATTGCTTAATGCTTAGAAGGCAAACGCTCGAAAATTAGACTATTAAATTGTTCGACATAATTTAATGAACTATTTTGAAAATATTTTTGATGGCATTCTGCCAATTCATTACAATACAACATTCTTGAAGATAATTATATTTTTTACTGATTTTTAACGTAATTATTTTTTAAGAGTTTACTTTGAATTAAACAACAGCGCATATAACCTTTTAATTTCATATTCTTATAAGCAAAATAATTTTCTTAGTATTTTGATACATACAAATCGAACGAGTAAGTAGGCAATTAATTAACTAATTAATCGTAAATATTTAAAAATAAATGAATAAAGTTGAATTTCACAGGAGTAAAATGTCGGTTCAATATAGTCTGCTTGAACTATTCGGGAAATAAAAAATGTACGATGACGTTCAAAAATAAAAATAACGTTGTTTTATATTGACTTGAAATTAGGTATAACTATATAAAAATTATATTATTATGAAAATTGGAAAAAATTACTGTGTTTTTTGCCTGAAAAAGAATCACCTTACACATTGTCGTCATGCGGACATAACCACGCTAGTTAGTGGTTTTATTAACATAATGTCTTCTGTTTCACTATTTTAAATAACGGCGATAACGCACATATTGTGACGAACCACTTGGTGGCTGTATACCTTTGACTCGTGTCAAAAATATCGTCTCCTAGCCCCTATAGGTGAGCCAACGAGCCACGTCATGATGCACCGATCTCTGAAAGTCGTCTAATAGTGTCAATATTATATAACGGGGAAAACAAGAATTCGAGGACGGTCTTTAATCTACAAATTTTCTCTTGGCCTGCAACTGTGACTCATATAATATTTATTTAATAAAATATTATAAAAATATACAATAATATGCGTACGTACACCTGCAGTAGCGTAGCGAGATGGGAAAAGGCCCCTGGGCAGTAATTAATTTAGACCAATATAATTTTAATCAAAATTTAAAATATTACACATATTGTAATTTGTAGCTATGGATATAAGGACGGGTATACACTACGATGTCATAATGAAATAGATGGACGGAATTATTAACAATAGTCTAATTATTTTTAATGAGTAGTATAGGTACAAAAATGATTGGAGAAATCACGATAGGCCCTCAAAGCGACAATCTGAGCCCCGGGGAACTGCCCCACTTTGCCCTAGGATAGCTACCCCACTGACGTACCTACACGTACACCTGCATGTATGTAACCATACCGGTTATACCATCTCATATATATATACCGTGCATGAGCTCGTTTAATGTTATTATGTGCGTATACTATATATCATCTGCGGAAATGTATACTGTTGAAAGTATATCACGACATCAGAAGTAATTCTTGGGGGGAGGGGGGATAAGAGGTTATTATGGTCCTCAAAAACTAAATTATTGTGRTGTGCAACGTTATTATATAAACTGTAAATTTCGCACGAAAAAATATTCCGCAAGCTTCTGAATCGAGCGACCTAAACCAGTAAACCTATATATGTAATAATATGTTTGAGGGGCTTCAAGTCCGTATAGATATATATTATATAGTTGCGGTTGCAGCGCTGTCACATATAGTGCTGCATCAGATGATGCTCGACCAACTTCGACGAAAGTCAGTAATATAACTTAGTATAATCATTAATTATTATACTATAATAGCGCATATAAAAATAAAGTGCATATACGTTACGCGTAGGATAACATTCGATGTGGGTGGCTTATTGTCTACAATTTTATGAAATGTCTAAAATGATATATACTTAGACTTATCTAGTGTTTAATTTGTATTTTGAARTCTTCGCATCGAGCGTGATGTGTACATTGTGCACATTTCTCACTCGTCAGTTGACTTAAGAGTGCCATAAACCTAACCTAAAATGTACATATTATTATTATTATGCACACATCGTACAACGTGCACATAGCTTTTACATGAGTATTCCGCTGTATCTGCAAGTGTAGTGATGATAACCAGGTCCTATTTTTTAGTGAACCCCGACACAAAGTGTGTATTCCGAAATTGAAAGTGTGCACTACGGATTCGAAAAGTGTGTACCTACTAAATACTAATAAATAAGACTACTTGCTAGATAGTAATAGGTAGTACAGAATACATTATACACATTTTTTAAAAATACATTTTTTTTAGCCCCCCACGGATCTGTATTATTTCATGATATATTAAAAGATGAGTAGTACGAATTTTTGTGAAAAATAGGGGTTGGACTGATAACAGTACGGCGATTTGGGCGAAGTGTATTATATAGTAATAACTAGTCGAGAGAACAATCGTAATAGATTTATATAATATATATAATATATATTATATCGTAAAGAGGTAACCTAACCTTATAAACAAGTAGTTTGGAGTATTCGTTACGGTGACAAAACATCTTTACAAAAATAATCTTATCTTTTACTATTTYTTATCGTATCAGTGTGAAACAGTTGCTATTAATAACCTGTTTCGTATTTTGAAATAACAACACTRATTTTCTGCCTTCTTGGTAATCATTTCATTTGTTTATTTTTAWTTATATACAATGGGTAGTGATTACACTAGCACAACACTCAGGCCAAAAGGCGAGMTGCCGCGATCGGCGTAATTCCACGACGGACCAAAGGCGCTGCCACATTTACAAAGTAAGGTATAATTACGAGGAATTACACTGCAGTTTAGGGAACGGGGTCGACCACAGGCAGTGTCTAACTGTCAATATAGCGACTGCTGCCGTGCGAATCGAACCCGGAAATGGTAGACTCTCAAAAGCGACCGAGGGGAGGGGCGATAAGGGGGTTCTGTTGGTCGTGAGTCCGGACACGGTGAGTGACGTCTCTCAAGCTCCGGCGATTTTGCAGATCCTGCGGAGTAGTTTTGTCCGGTCGCTGATATTGGTTCGGGTAGGTCGACGAGCCTGGTACACTTGTTGTATAAATATTAAATAGAATTGGTCGTAGATGTTCCTGGCCCGTGTCAACGGTTAKTAATTATTCAAACGAACTGTATTCGCGTTGACACGAGTAGAAGCTCGTTTCCGGGAGATGATGCTCACCAAGTGGTGAGATCGGCCTCCTTGATTGGTCGTCGCAGGCGGCTTGGTTTTGTCGCCGCTAAACAGACAGGGAGTACAACTCGTACAAACATGAAACAATATGTGTGGAGATTTCCAGACGGGTTGCTCACGGGTACGAGGAGTGTTGCTGTGCTAGCAATGYTAGCTGTTGCTCGTCGATATCGCCAAATGTTACTTGCAGCTTGTTAACGTTTTACTACTGAACTGCTCGTCGGCGATTGGTCACTCCGGTTCTCTTCTTCTTCTTGTCTTCGAGCGTTAATGTTTGGTTGAAATTGGATCGAAGAATGTTGAAGTAGAAGTGTCTATTCTAAACGGATATACCGGTATATATACCCGTTGGGGGATAGAAACCGGTGCTGATCGTTCGAAACCTYCTCGGTATGACAATGGATTATAGCACCGTTACTTTGTTATAGCAACCTGCTCGATGCGCTTTTTACTCGTCAACTCGTTGAAATTTAGTTGTCGAAAAATCGCTCTTTTGGTCGTGTGTTTCAGGTTCTATGTGCGCCACCGTTTGGGAATATCACGTTTATTGATGGTCTTGATAAAAACCTTTTTATATCGTCACATGGTATAAACGTCAAGTGTCTAGATATTTTAACGAGAATTGACAACACATAATTGAAGTTGTATAATCAGCAGAAGTAGGATACTTTACTAAAACTCTTTTTATATTTATATCAAACGTTGAATATTATTTAGATAAACAATTTTGTAATTATTTTACTCAAACATGTTCAAAGTATTTGAACACAACTATTGCGAGGTCATTTGTTAAAACTTATAAGTATAMCTTGTGCAATCCATCGGGTATAAACTTCAACTTACGGGCCAATGATAGAAACAAAATACTATTTGACATTTTTTCAATAATATTCGATGTTCGTGTATCAACAAATTAA